CCGCCCGACGGCAGCGCCCTCGGCTGGCGGGTTTTTGAAGCGTGTCAGTGTTTCCCCTCGAAGGCCTTTGGTTGTTGGCAGCGCCGAGGCTGGCGTTCAACTGGTGGCAGCAGCCCAGACCCTTCATGGAAACAGCGTTTCCCCGACCTTGTACCTGCCGAATAATCTCGTTACCTTCCTGCGAGCACTCTGCTTTTCTGAGGTAGCCACAAACAGAACACCGGCCTCAGAATAATCTCTTAATGCTAAAACTACTGAAAAAACGAGTCCCTGATGTGGTGGGGTGTCCCACATGTCATCGTTGTCCTGTAGCTGTGATCTTCTCACTCTTAGTGTTCTGTACTTAAAAAGGTTTGCTCTGGCTTTGCTGTGTTTTAGCTCATTATGAACTAAAAACAGAAAAGGAAAAAAACCCAACAAAAAAAGGAAAAAGTTAAAAGCAAAAAAAAAAAAATTAAAAGCAAAACTTGCTGACAACTTTTCTGACATTCAGTGCTATTTGAACACATAACAGCTGTATGTAACATCTCCCAGAAATGATAGACAAGGCAAGTTGAGGTCTTGTTTTAGAATAGCATGCCCATCAGTAAGCCTAAATTTTGTGTAAAGAGCTTACGGTATTGCTGAGAATATTTAGGGCTCTGCAAATCAAAAATGTCTGGAGAAATCTGTGTAGTGCGAATCAGTGAAGTCTCCATATCTGTATGGTGTAGCTGCAAGTACAAACCAAAACATAGTTTAGACACCACATGATTATAAATTGAAGTCCTGTTTCTTCTGCTCTTTTTTTTTTTTTTTTTTCCTCCCCTAATACCTGTGTTTGGCAGAATCTGTTTTACTACTGGCTGCTTCTAATCCTCGGTCTGTGTTATGACTCCAGTGTCCTTATGGCCTTCCTGATGTTGTTCAGAGTGTTTATTTTGCTAATACTATGTTGGCGTCCCAGTTGTGCTCATTTGAGGTGTACATTTCACAGCAGACCAAGTAGCAGTTCCTGGTGGCTTCTGTGATAAATAACCACAGCCTTAAGGAGCGTTTATAAATGGGAAATTACAAAGCTTGTTGAGAGCATGGACCCACCTTAGGCATTTGTTAGTGCAGATGTGCACAGAGAATTAAATGAGTTTTATTTAGATTCCCTGGATGCAGGTTTGTATGAGACCATCCCTGACAGTGCAGTCCAGCTGCAAGACTCCTGGGAGGCAGCAGGAGCTGTCATGTTGAGGGAGCTCCTTGACACCTAAGGCTTTTCAGCAGAGAGGCTCCAGATGCTGCTGCTTGTGGCATAAAGCGTCCATCCATCGTAAATAATTTCTTTGCTTGTACTTCATTATGCATACAGAGAATTAGCAGTTACTGCCACATGTTTATTGTTTTCAACTTGATGTAGTTTTAGGGGGAAAAATGGAGGCACTCAAGCTCTTAATGTATCCTGCTAAAATTTCTGCTTTCTTAGCATTCAAGTATCCATGCTTTCAGCTAAAGCTAACAGAAGGGGTGTGGTAGGAATATAGCTGGTTTTGCAGACAATAGATGTTTCTACAACATTTACCTGGGTGCTTTCTTTTCACACAAACATATCAGTAGAGTGTTTGGGCTGGGGTGATAAGCTTCTAAGTTAGGGCAAGTGCAAGAGATTTAACTTACTATACCATCTCAGGATGTATACTGTATATGTGAGGCCACTCCAAAAGTTATGCATTGTTAGAGTTCTCCAAGTGTGTTACCTTCATTTACAAATATGCCCCAAACGATTAGCAATTTAGAATTGATCAACTGTGCATGTGCTATATTATTTGGAAGCAACTTGTCTTTTGCTGTTGAAATAAAATATTAGGACTCCAATAAGCATAGCAATTCCTGAGCTCTTCTGAAAGACAGGCCAGTCATCCACATGTCCAGTTGTTGACGTTGGTACTAAATTAAACTTTTTGTTTATTTTCCTTCTTTATTTTTTTCTTTCCTCAGTGTTAAATATCTGTTTATGCTTTTCAGCTTCCCATCACCAATGTTTCTTGGAATTGGACAGGTATGTTCACAAGTGAAGCATACTAAATATACTGATTATTTTGTAAGTTAAACTAATGTTGGCATAGAGGTATATTTTGGCGGGGGAAATCTCTTACACTGCACTACTCATCTTCTGGATTAGATACACTGTAAGGAGGAGTGATTTGTTTCGGTGAAATCAAGGAAGTTTCAGCTAAAGTCAAAGTTACTGCCTGGGAAGAGTCATGCAAGGAATTGTAATTGCCATTTATTTCCCTTTGTAGAGTTCAGTACAGGGTCCATAAAGAACGTGTGATTCTGCAGAGGGATGGCTGGGAAAGATGGAGCCTTGAAGCAAGTGTTGTTTAGGCGAATACATTTAAAAGAGAGAATTTACTTTCTGCGAAGGTTACAGGCTAAGAGGTAGTGAGGAGAAGGTGAAAACAGTGTACTGCAAGTCTGACACCTCTGCTTTTTGGTGCTGAAGAGAGTAAAATGTCCTGTAAAATCTTGGCAGTGTGAGAGGGGGAAAGAGGTTCACACATCCGGGTTGCTCAAGGAACTACACATCATGTTTCAGTGGAAGGCAAAGATTAGCAAATGTGGCAGTTCATGTTAAGGGCACTGATACGACTTGTTTCTTTGCAGAACCTAAGACTCAGTGACATTTCAGTTTTTTGTTGACTGATCCTTCCAAGATTTGCCTGAACACTTTGTAATGTGCATATAATGTGGTGTAATGCTTTAATCTGCAAAACATGACTCCACCTCATCCTCTAGATAGTCAATTATTGTATTTTTGATAAGGAAAATTTTAACTTTTTTTTTTCTCTCCCTGGAGCCAGTATTAACTTTTGTGCCACGTGATTTCTCAGATATTCTTCTTCTTTCTGTCCTTATCTTTACTATTTTGTCATCATGTTGTCAATGGCCTGATCAATGCGCAACCCCCTTCTCACATTGCAAAAAAAACTATAGGAGTGATTCCACAGACTAAACAATGCTCTGAGTGGAAACAGCATGATTATTCTGGGATTGTGTCCTGTTTTATTTTCTCAGCTCCTTCTCAGCATGCATTAGCAGCAACAGGGTGCTGCTAATTTTCTCAAGCTCGTAAAGCATATGTCTATATTGTACTTTTAAATAAATAGCTGGCGAAATTGCTAAGAATGAAATTATTCCAGCTTATTATTTGTGTGCTGTGTTACTCTTTGAAAGAAATACGTAATACTTAGCATTTGTCAGATGCATATAAAGATTTTGTCTTTGAAGCAGTTCTTTCATTCATATGTTACAATTTTGCTCTTACATGACTTTCTATTTTTTCTTTTTGTTTAGATGGCAGCCACTATACTTATCTTGTATGTGTCGAAACTAAATAAGATTGTTCACTTCCCTGATTTTGACAAAAGTATACCTGTGAAGGTAAGGATTACATAGGTCCTGATATTAACAAGAAAATGTTACCTCTTATAGCATCATTCTTTCTTATGGACATAAGATACAAAAGAAGAACAGAAAAAAAAATTGCATTTGTTTGTCAAATGTGATTATTTGTATTTTTGTTTCATTTGATAATGGATTTGATAATTTTAATTTCACTGCAATATTCTGGCCTTTTGTTTGCAGAGAAATCTGGTGCCATTTTGTTATGCAGTACATGGGAAAGGGTGCTGTGCCTTCATACAGCTGGATGAACTCTTTAAGATTCCTACAGTATTTTTCTGGATGTACACAGCTCCCTGGGGGATCAATGGGAGATCTGTGTTTAAGAAGGAATTTTGATCTCTGCATGAAGGGAGAAAGGCTGCTTGGAAATTTGAATGGGTCTTGTGATAAAACAATAGTAAAAGAATATGTGGTAGACCTGAAATGCAACCAACAGTTGACTCCGAATGTAAGATTTATGTTCCATAGGAGGAGCTAAAATAATCCTTGCTGACAACACTGTAGGTGGGGGCTAGCTGCATTGTACACACCTTAAGTGTGTATGGTCTAAAGAGGCAGGACAGAGAAAACATGAGACTTGTTATCTCATTAACTTGTATTATTATTATTTTATTATTATTATCTTATTATTATTATTATCTTATTATTATCTCATTATCTTATTATCTCAGACTGGGAACTGAAATATCCTTGTAGATATTTGCATCCATGTGCAATGTTGCTTAAGCTTTATTTTGGTGTGTAAGCCTGTGTATTTATGTCTTGTTGCAGGGTATTGGTCAGTGGTTGCTCAGAGATACAGAGAGTTAGCTCCCAGCTCCGCTGCAGGGCTCAGATATCAGCTTTTCAGGTCAACATCTACACTGCAGATTTTTGTCTTACTATCAGTGTGAGGTTTACTATAAACATCTTGCAGCCATTGGTGAATGCTGTTTATTCTTAACGCATGTTAAATTCATTAGCGTTTCTGCATGTAAAAATCTTGTAGGAATATCGATAGCATTGATTATAAAATGGACAATACTTATTTTTTTCCAAAATACAAAAGAAGGTTTCCCAGTGAGTAGTTTTGAGTTCTGTGTATAAACAACTTGTTGAGACCTCGAGAGGTTTCTTCCCTCCACCTTTGCCAGTCCCACTGCTCTCCCTCTCTGCTGTTACCTTCACTTTAACATCAGTACAAAGGCATTGAAAAAATACAGCACCCATTTTCTTTATCCTAATAATAAGTGTCCTGTGGAAGACTTTCCTGAGTATGCTGGGAGCAGTCAGTACTGCAGCATCCAGTACTTGTTCGTAGTGCTGGATTTGACTGCCACAGTGAATCAGCTGAATTACTCATTGTTGATTTCTTTACTTTTTAAAGCACCCTTTGACTGACTCTTTATCCTTTTGGCAACATTTGTTTTCATTGACACTAAGATTATCATTGCTGGTTTATGTCCTCAGTGCTTTCAGCTAGAGTTGTAAAGTGGTGAAGTGCTTATTTCAGTGTCAAAGCTTTGGAATTCTTGACCCTAAAAAGGGTCAAGTAAATGTTTCACTGATCTGTGGTGTTGTGCTGGATGTTGTAATTTTGTCTTTACAGTGGACAAAGTCCAGAGGAAAGAGAATGTAATGTCAGCCCTGTTTTCATCCTAAGAATGAAATAAAATATTTTTTTCTAAATAAAAATCTGCAGAAGAGATACTGCATTACAGAATTTTTGCAAACTTTATGTTGACAGGCTGAATATTTGTTGTTACTTACACTCCTGTTTACTTTATAGTCCTGTTTACTTTTACTGTTAACTTTCACTTAAAAGTTAACTTCTACTGCAATTTTCTCCTCTCTCCTCTTTGCTGTAAAAGAAATGCAGAATTTTTAACGTCGATAAAATGCAGCCCACTCCTCTGTATGCTGTTCCAGCACATAATGCTTTGAGAGAACACAGCCTCCAACACACACAGTGTCTCCTGAAGTAGGTATAGGCACAGCAACAGCAGCTGTTACACGTGCTAGGGTAGAGGATCTGTTTTGTCTTTCTGGCATTTCAGCTCCGCTTGACTGATAGTAAATAGAATTAGATGTACCCATCACCTTTGTCCCTACTGATTACTTTGGTTAGTTTTAACCTTGTGCAACTTTTCTGTAGTGGGAGAATTAACAGCTTGGAGCTGCGGCTGAATACTGTGTAGGGATCCCTGACTTCTTGTACATTTTCTTAAAGCTCTGAAGTTCTGTTATTGTTTCTCTATATTGTGTTAGGGCCCACATGTTTCTGTGTAAGTCAGTCTCATTATGCTAGAAGCAGAAAAAGGTAAAGTTTAATTTACCCCTAAATACTTACCTTTCCTTTCTAGTATCTCGCATAGCATAATTTGTTGGGTGGATATAAGATGGTGTATCTTCCAGGCATACTAATGTATGTGGAGTACCTAGAGAAGCAGAGCATACTTACAGTTTATTTGTTCTTTTATTCCACCTGTTCTCTTGCTTATTTAGCTACTGTTACTAATGCTACTTTATACCTAAAATTCAAACGTTAGAGCGGGTATTAATCTGAGGATTATAGTAATGAAAATAAAACTGAGTAACTTTTACTCTAAATGAAGTCTGAGTCTCTTTAGAGGCAGATTCTGACTTTTCTAATGAAATCAGTGAAGCTGTGGTCATGCATGGTCTCATGAATGAGAGCTGCAGATCAGTTTGCAGCATAGTGACTTTTTTCCTTGAGAAAACCCTTTTCCTTGCTAAAAGATGCTAAAAGTGCATCTGATACTACAGGTATCAAATTCTATCAAGTAAAGTTTCTCAGCAGTGCTTCAAAACATAATAATCTGAGTTGTGCTTTTAATTTTGTCACAGTTGTTTCCTCTGCCTCTGATTTATGTTGGAAACCACATAAGTGGATTATCAAGTACCAGCAAACTCAGGTACAGTAAATGGAAGTTATAAGTAAACTCTTTGGATTTTACCCTTTTGTTTTGTGGGGGTAAAAAATAATGACTAAAGAAGAGCATTGTGTAGGGACCTAATGCATATGACTTCTGTCTGTCTAAGCCCCTGATACCATTACGAAGTTCTTACCCAAACATTTGATCTGGGTACAAGTTGTATGCTGCTTTTAAGGAGGACTTAGCCAGGCTTGTACTGACAGAAGGTCACAGTGCTCCTCTGTGACAACAAAAGTGCTTTCACTTTCCCCTCACACCCAAGCATCCAGCTTTTCCTGTGTGTCCTAATGAGAGAGTTTGAAAGCTGTAAGAAAGATGTTTTTAAGGGAAGAATAAGGGAAAGATTTGTACCGTGACATCGGTGCAGGTTATTTAGGAATCACCAAGAGTCAGAAAAACTACTGTGTAGTGGGGTGATGGTGGTGGCATAGCCCTGCTGAGCACCAAGAGGAGGTTGTGAGGAGATTGCTGTAGGGCTCACAGGCTCCTGTATGGCCGTAAGCACAGGTTCATGAGAGTTATTTCCATACCAGTGCTAAAAAGGTGTAAGTTATATAGAGCAGCTGCTGTAATAGATTGAATCACCAAATTTTCTGTGGAAGAGGAGTGCAGAAGCATGATGGCTGCACCAGGATTGGAGGATACAACGCTACCGTTGCGGTGGTTTCTTCTATGTTATAACGGGCTCCTGAGGATTTTGTAGTAGACTAAACCAAAATGAAGAATTTTTTTGAGTCCGATGCTGGAGAAAACATGTTTTACTTTTAATTTGTTTATGTTTCTTCTTATTTATAGAATTAGTTTTCTGTGACTAGCAACATTAGATGCCAGATTCTACAACGCTTTGTTGTATGCATTCAAAAGTTGTTCCACTGAAGTGACTGTTCAGGGAGACTTCTGGCAGTACTGTCGCCTAGTAGCACTTCAGCCAATGTGAACATGAAAGTAGTTTCAATCCTATAAAAGTTTGATTCATGGGTTCTTCTTTCCTGTTTCCCTAACTGTAATTTTAAAATGAAAAGTTTAGTAGGTTGTTTTAAACATAAGTGCACCATCTCCTTCTCGTATGGCTGATTAGATTTACTTTTAGATTTACTATTTGTAACTAATTTGTATAACAGAAAAGTAGGAATGGCTGCAGTGTTTCTACTGTTAACATTTTGTTACACTGCATTTTGTTACATTATGTGTCATTTGTTTACATTATGGATTTTTCAACCTTGTTTGGGCTGTCTGTAAGGTGTAAATGATCCTACGTATAACTGCAAAACGTCTGTTGTTTGAAGTGATTAAACTCTGTGTTAAGATTTGTATCATTTATTAATGCAGTTGCTAATAGTTATCTTAAACAGAAGATTAATTGATCCATATGGCCATGCTGTCAGATTTCCAGTGTCAGATGCAAGTGTTTTCTCAAATTAATCAAAAAGGGTTCCAACTGCTTTACTTTGCGTAGACCAACAATATGTTGCTCAAAAGTAGCTGTTTGTTTGTTAGTTGCATCTTTCATGTTTCTTGTACTTTCTCTGATGTTTTTTTCTTGTGGATATATTTTACTTTTTTGAAAGTACACCTTGTTTACTAGTCATGTTTGCTGTGTATTTTATTTCTCTTATGTGTTTTCAGAGACAGGTTTATTGTGTGTCCTCTAAGTTTACAATAGAAATTTATTTTTACTTACCCCAGCCATGATTTCTACAGAAAGAATTATTTCTTAGGGGCTATGCCAGGTAGAAAATAGCTTTTATATTGCATTTCACTGATGCAGAGGGACCTTTTAAAAGGTAGCCAGTTGCATTGTTTTACAAACTGGCAAATCTGGTTATTTTTCAGTGATTTGATTATCTAATCTACCTCTAGTGTCAGACTGACATTTCTTATATATGCTAAGTGGCTGGGAATTTGTTTTGGTTGCTTATTGCTGGACTAATGGTTTCATCCTCTGGTTAGTAAAATTAGATAAGAATTAGAACATTAAAATGATGTTAATCTGACCCTATGCTTGGATTTTTATTTTTTTTGACAGTTTGCCGATGTTTACAGTGCTCAGGAAGTTTACCATTCCACTTACTTTACTGCTGGAAATCATCATACTTGGGTGATCCTTTTTTTTTTCATTTAAGATACCTTTATTTTAGATCATATCAAATGGATTACTTGTGGCATCTCATCAGAATATTGAATGAGTGCTTTTTACTGACAAATAGAGAAAAGCAAAGAAGTGGTTTTAAGTAGCTTTTTTTGAAGATAGATATATGCGTTTTGGCAAATACAGGGAAAAAGATTCAGCTTGCTCTCATTTACACACCTCATTCTCTTGACAGTTGCACAGGAATCAGGTAAGGAGAGCACAACTCAGACACTTTTGGCGGTTATGGTTTGTGTCTCATCTTGGCGGCCCCTAAGCTGCAAACTGCTTCAAACAGACAGATTCTTATGTCTCAAAACAGTGATGATAGCATGGCAGTCTGCTTATGTAAAGTAGCTTTCTGGGTCAAGTCTAAAAACATACCAGTTTAATGAAGGACAATGGTATCTACCAGTATGCTGTTAGATCAGAAAACTCCTTAGTTATAGATAGCTCCATTGTTCTTAATGAGAAATGAAGAAGTGTATGTTATTGCAGCTTGTACTGACTTGGAAGAACATGACTATAAATACATCATACTTTGTCACTGTCGTAGTTCTATCCAGATGGCTTGTGCTTGGTTAAAGTGGGGTCAAAAGGGGAAAAACAGCTTGCTAAAGCTGAGCCCAGGCAACATGAGAATGATGGTCAGGTGAAAAGCTTTTCAGAAAGCCTCCAAGTAGGCTATCCTCTCCTTTTGGCTGAACCAGCAGTTGATCAATGTGATTCATATTTTGCGGATGCTCCAGGATTCTTTTCTGGTTTTAAGTTCTCACAGGGAAAGCAGAACTTGCTGTCTTCTCTTGTTGGCTTGAGGACTCCCACAAACAAGTGAGGAAAATGTGAGTCAGTGAGGTTGTCATCAGTTCTCAGCTGGACTACAGCAATGTTATGTATGAATGCAAGCAACATCCTAACCTAAGGGAAGCTTAAGAGCAGAACGCTGTATTCATAGACTGCCACAGTGTATTTCCTCAGGGCTGAAAATGAAAGGACTCTGGACAGTCTGTGCTGGCTTACCTTAGGATTTGAAAAGCAGTCAAGGATTGTTACTGTCGAGAGTCATTATGATCAAAGTCTAATATATCTAGAGACTGCATACAGCTTTGTTGTTGGGACAGTGATCCACAGTTATGCTCCTTTGACACACAGGATTTCTCCAAGAGCGTTGTACATTTTGTTTTGATGGATCTTTTCTCCCAAGCCAGCTCAGAGCTGAGGACTGACCTGAGAGAATGAGTAGGGGAATGTCTGCAAGGCACATTGCAGTACGATGCAAAAATAAGTACTGAAGACATTTCTAAATAAATACAGGTTTAAGAAGCAGAATAGTCTTATGGTATGCTTTTCCCTACTTTGTGGCAGTGCTGATGTAGATGTAGTGAAGAATATTATAAGCTTCTGTGCTTTCCCCTACAAGTACAAGGTTTCAGTTTGACTTCAAAATAAGTATCTATTTGAAAAATAACCCAGATAGTGGGCTGTACAGGGTCTTTCCCAAGAAAGGTGAGATGAAAAACTACATGAGAGATGTGTAGTGATTTTCCTTTCCTGGAGGACACTAAAATACGTCCATCATGAATACCAATGTACAGTAAATTAAAGTTTGTTCCAGCACTATCACTTTAAACCTTTAATCTTTACTTTTAAAGTTATCTGGTAGCAGATTGCTTACAATGCTTTTTCAATCTCTGTTCTCAGGGCCAAGGTCTGGTAGCATGGCACATGGTCAATCACATTGCTTCTGTAAGGTTATCAAGACTGTGCCCTCCTGTTAAATGTTCTGTCATTACTAATTGCTTTGAAACTTTTCAGGCAGACAGCCGTTTAATCTCCCGTTCAAATAATGAAAATGTGAACTGTCTAATTTTTGTCTACAGGAAACGACACCCACTGAGTATTATAGTCAGCGTATTTACCATCATTCTTGGGGCTTTCATAGCAGCTGGGTAAGGTTTTCATTTCTTATACGAAGTCATGAGAGAAAGGACCACAGGAGGATTTGTTAAGTGCCAAGTCAACCTAAATTGAGATCAGTTGTTCTGGATTAAGTTGATTTGGACAATCTCTCTACTGACGTCATTGGGAGGTGCAGGAATACAAAGGGAAAAATTTAACTCCAGCTGGAAGTATTTGTGTGCTTTTCCCCTCCCTTCCCCCAGGTTTTCCATGTTTGCAGGATCACAAATGAAGCAAGCTAACGCTGTGTGAGGAATGCTGCTTTTATTTCATAGTACCAGTGGATTTTAATAATCTTAGAAAAATGTTTTCTTGTCCTGGCTATAAAGACTGATTTTTTTGGTTGTCAAATATTGTTTTGAGTTAGGCAATGTCTATTTTGTTTAATAATTTGAACAAGTTCAAATGTGAGATTAAGTTCACAAAGCACTCATATGCTAGTCTCCTCTGTTTTCTTTCTGTTTGAATATTCCTTTACCTGACTGGAAATGTAATGTTCTTTTTTGTTTCTTGGCTTTGCTATGTACAAAGGTAAATAATTTCCATGTGATGTGACTTAGATAGATCCATGTCCTATTAAATGAATTACCATTTGGTAACTAGTCAAAACAAAAAAAAATGACAATATGTCTGGTCTGACTGTAAAAAACAAGTAGTCAGACTTTATTCCCTAGCTACTTTTTATTTTAAAAGAAATAGATAAGTATACTCAGTAATAATTGGACAGGTTGTCAGGCTTGAGGCAGATGGAATTTTTCACGGAATGAAAACTGAACATTTCCTGCCACTTCTGCACTGAGTACTGTGAACTCTCTGATGACTCATTTGTGATGGTCCTGTGACTGGAGAAATGTAAAGTACTTTGACTTATAAAGAAGGCTTAAAGCAAAACCTGTGACTTGCTGAAGTTCTCAGGATTTGCATTTCCTCATTTATGATATTTCTCTAGGCAATGCAATGCATTGTATACTCTTTGCTTATTTACAATATGATATTTCTTTCCCAGGTCTGATCTGTCTTTTAATCTGGAGGGCTACACGTTTGTATTGCTAAATGATATCTTCACAGCAGCAAATGGAGTTTACATAAAGCAGAAAATCGATCCAAAGGTAACTGTGGGGTGATTAAGTTGAATTTAACATTATTACAGTATGGTAACAGTGGGTTACTTATATGATTTTATGAATATACAGTTATGAAGTAATAAATAGTTTCATTTGCTTTCATAATTCAGGTGACATATATGGATCCTTAATACTGAACAGCCTGGGAGAAACTTGTTATTAGTATCTCAGGCCAGGCTTAGATACAGTGTATTTTATTTTCTCCTAAGTCTTATCGACAGAGTTTGTAGTGGCTTTAAAACATTGCTTTTGGCTAAAAAAATAAAATAAATCTAAACCAAAGCAAATTGTTTACCTGTAAACCTGATATATATATCTAAGGAAGATGACTTTTTGACTAGAAACACACTTTAAGAGAGATTTATGTAAAATAAACTTGTGGGTAGGAACATAACCACAAAAACTGATATCTTTTTTGGCTATCTCAAAGCAAGTCTACACCAAATGCAGATATGCCAAAGAATTAGGCAACACCATTATACATTATACTTCACATAAACATTGAGCAGGCTGCTCTCCAATACAGTTCCATAAAAACATGCCAAGCCATAGCAAAGAGCAGTCTTGGAGATGCTGGATAGAGGTTTTGTCACTGCTTTGTGGTTCAGTCTGTACGGTGGAAATATATATCTTTTAATAATCTTAGGAGTCACATCAGATCCAGACTCTATTTTTCTTTATAAGCAGCACTTAACAGCCTCACAAATTTCTGCAAAATACAGTGTTTCATTTAAAGCAAGAGATAAGCTGGAGAGATTTGCTAAGTAGCGTGGCTGAATCTGGAGGAAGGGAAGGCTGCTTTTTCATTCCGGTAGTCTTCTACCTTTGTGTCAAGCAAGTTAACCAACAGGATATATGGCATCCCTTGAGTTGCTCTTAAGTGAGATCAGTTACCAGTGATTAGAGATGCTCCATCTAGGAGTCAGACTTCATTAATTTTCCTGTTATGCTGGCCCCAGAGATCCACCCTGCCATAAGCCTTCATGGTTGATTTGCAGTAGATGGAATGGGTAATCCCTTGGCCAGGCAGAGACTTATGTGGAGTCTAACACAAAGCAGTTCTGGACCAGTGCCTTGGGAAGTTTCTGACTAGCTGGTGTTGTATAGAAACTGTTCAAGGTACAGCAGAGCAGTAATGTTTGGCTGAGCGTACAAAGTGACCAAAGTGGAAACTCGGCCTAGTACTAAGGACTAAATGCAACAATTACAAGCTTGTATTTTGAATTGAAATGTATTATGTTTTGTCTGCTCTTTGACAATAATGTCAGAAGGATTGCTGGAGCAATATTTGGTATTTGCTCCCAAATGGCTTGTAATTCCAAACATCATGTTTCATTTTTCACAGGAGTTGGGAAAATATGGTGTCCTTTTCTATAATGCTTGTTTCATGGTGGTTCCAACAGTTATTATTAGCTTTTCTACTGGAGACTTTGAGCAGGTAAGGAGCAATATTGCATATATCAGACTGGTAACGGTATTGTGTTCAGTTTCTTCAGTTAGGGGGTGGGTGGGGTTTTTTGTTTGTTTATTTTTAAAGAGGTAGTCCTATCCCCACGTTAGTGACTAGTATTTGAAATAGGTGACTTAGACTTGCCCTTCAGAGGTAAGAACTTGTAATTATTCATTCTAAGGAGAAACTGAGTTTGTGCGATAGCCCTTATATGAATCTTTGTTTAAGAACTAATGTATGACTGGGGACTCTGAGCTAGAGCAATTGGTTGGGAATCCAGCTGCACTGTGTGATTTGCCACATGCTCTAAAATGAGATTGCAAATACTTAGACTATTTCCAGTCCTCCTCTCATTCTAATGTACAGAAAAGATTCCTGTTTGGTCTCAGTGTAGTTTAGTAACCTACATTATACATTCTCATAGAACGACAGCATGTCTCTCTGTAGATAATCATAATGCTGTATAATACCATAGGCAGCATATCCTGGCACCTAAAGTATCAGACCAGGAGGCTTGTGTTTTTCTGGCTCCCTCACAGACTCGCTGAGTTGCCTTTTTCTTACCAGTAAGAGGAGTCTAGACACTCGTATTCCTTTTTGGAAATGTTTGAGATTTGCCACTGAAAATTGTTACAGAGCTTGGGGATGTCATAAATCATTCCAGTGTCCTTTGTTGAATGTTGTTGTGCCTTAGACTTACATGATTTTGTCATTGTGTTCTTAAAAGCCTGCTTTAAGTGGAAAAAATGTAATTCCCTGAAAATGATGGATTTATATCTGCTCTGATTGTGAAATCTCTTCTTGTGACGTCAGTTCAGCATGACCACCTGCCAGTTTAGGAAAATGCAGCTGATACCCTTCTTGGCAGATGTAATGGGGCCAAGTTTGTATGGCTGTAAGGTTTCAACTGCTTTCCCAGCAGACAGACAGAACTGGACAGGGAGGTTTACTTTGTTGCTAGGTTTATCCTATGGGAAAAATAAAGAATGTGTTGTGCCCACACGTTGATTTGACGCAAACAATTTAATGCTCAATTACCTGAAAAGAATAAATGAATATCAGAGAAATGCATAGGGCCTATTGTACATATGCATTGGCTTGGTCCTTAATATTAAAAGTCCCATTAAATGGTGTGTATAACTGGTGTCAATGTGATGCACAGGAGTTGAATCACAGAAAAAAGAGAGAAAATGGAAAAATACTCATGAAAAGTCAACAAATCATTGTAGATAACAGCTATATTTAGCAGATTTTCAGGCCATAGAAGTTGGCTTGCTTTTACCCTAGCAAAGCTTTTTTGCCTTGATCCATCACAGACAATACATAGCATGTATCTTTTGTCAGTCAAAATATCAGTACCATGTCTATGTGACAGGGAGATTGTTTCTGCTCCTCTGGCTAGTTCTGGAACAGTAGCTACCACATCTTGCAGAGACTGCAGTTTGTGAGTGTCCCAGTTATTCACTTCTTCACCAGCTCGCTGACTAAGAGGACAGAAAAGCATGATGTAATGGAAGAGAAAGGAAGCCCCAGAATGTCTCTGTAATAATATGCAGGTTGTTGGTGCATGCCAAAACAATTCTAGCAGGGCAGAGCTGCCCAAGATCCATCTAATCTATTACCTTAGGTGGTAGAGGCTCAGCTAGCCACAACTCAACATGGACTAACAGCCTTTATCCTGTTTCTCAGGGACCAGTCAGTCTTTGCTGAGTTTTGTGCTGATACAGATGACTTTAAAACTAACCATATTAAAATGAGGCATACCCTTGAGTTACTAGAGATGGAAAAGAGTCTGTGACATGTTTCTTAGTGACTGTTGCGTGGCACTGTGTGTTTACTTGCTGCACGTCACTAAGAAGCAGACTTCAAAGTGATGATTTAGCCTTTCCATTGACCTTCATTGATGAGAGACCTTAGTAATGCTTATTTAATCTACTTTTGAGCTCAAAAATGCAGGCTTAGACCTTGAAAGCTGTTCATGAATGAATCTACGGTATGAAGTAGATTTCAAGGACATTATTTATTTATTTGCTTTTTCTCTCTGTCTCGTATCAACGCTATTTATCATACAACATTAATTACAGTATTGGTATCTGTATCAATTCTCTGTGTTGTATTTATATTCATTGCTTCCAGTGTGCAGTTTTATATCAGCACTGCTATGCATGTTACAAGCATGTGTCTAGGTATCATGGGTGCTGTCAACTTGTTGTCCCGGAAGTTAAATTCATCAGACTGTTTCCAGTAGTAATACAAATGTTTCATAATTATAACATGACTCAAATGTATTCTGTGATTTTGCACATTTTCATATTAACTACATTTTATATGTGTTAACAGTTGATTATATAGCACATAATCCTCACTCTGTTTTTTTTTTTTTTAATAGGCAACACATTTCCAGCACTGGACAAATTTTTTATTTGTCTTCCAATTTATTCTTTCCTGCTTCTTGGGGTAAGGACACAGGGCAATCAAGTAAAATGTTTTAATAACAGTGTTTCAAATTGCAGATCTCAAATAATGTTATGTTAAAACTCAAAGAAAATATATTTCCCCCCAGGCTTCTGTCTTGTCTTTTAATTAGTTCTAATAGCGTAACTGTTTCAGTACTACCCGCGTTGTTGACCTCACAGTACAGTGGTCAACATCACGACATTTAGCTTTTTACTTTCTGTACTCAGGATCTCTCTGCTAGCCATCTCTTCTGGTTATCTAACTTCTTGCAGTTAATAGAATGTAAACCCTTTAGTATAGGAACTGTTTCAGTGCATTTGATCTTTAAAGTACCTGGAAAAATATGGGGGGCTCAAAAGTAATGAAACAATGCTTTGTTCCTCTTGGAACTGCAGAGTCAAAGCAAGAATAAAAAAGTGTGTTGGATCCTGTTCTGCTCTTTCACATGTTACCAACTTAGGGATCAAACTAACTTCAAATACTGACGTTAAGAAGCACAGAAAATAGGGATGTCTCCACTAGAGCTCAAGTAGCACACTTTAATGTGTATTTTGAGTACTCTGTATGCTCACGTTAACTTAAAATATGGATCCACAGAATCATTTTTAGGGTTTGGAACAGGTGGGATTGAAGATCCCGGCAAAATACTGATCCAGAAAAAGTTGAACATTTCAGTGTTGCTAAACTTCTGAGCTTCCTGGAAAGAATTTATAAAATTTTCTCCTTTGCTTTATTTAGGTTTCTCTTGATGTATTCTACTGTCCTATGCAGTCATTACAATTCTGCGCTTACAACGACAGTAGTTGGTGCCATCAAGGTGAGTTATGGAGAAGAGGGGGATGAGAATGCTCAAATAGACAGGGAAGAGCATTGACTCAGCAGTGATCCTGATTATACTTGGAGCTGGAAACTTTACATGAGGGCTAATACTGAGACACTGCTTGTGCCATACATTTTGGAGATCCACACAACAAAGTGACCTTGTTTTCTTCCATTGAAGCTTAGGTATACTTTAGAAAGCAATGTGAGTATTGATTTATTTTTATTTTTTCTACATGAGAAACTTGGAACTACTTGAATTAAAAGATGTACATTTAACCATATTTCATCAGGTACTGTCACCTGCTTCTGTTTAAGTTACTGTGAGTTAGTCAAGGTAGCCTGATGCAAATCCATTCCAAACTGATACAGACTAACCCACTTTCACTTTCGGCTGAACTAGTTTCCATTGCTGCTAATAAATAGGGCATTCATAAATACAGAATAATGGCTAAGCTGTAGTAGGGAGTTTACTGCTTTATGGTTAACTGCTTCTGTCTCTGTGAGAACTTATATTCTAGCTGAATGGATGCTTTCATTTTGATTTGTAAAAATTCTGGTCAATTTGACCAACACCAAAACATACCTGTCTTAAAAACTGAACTTGGTGTCCTTACAATCTGTTTTCTCTAACTCAGTTTTATTTAAAACCAGTGCAACTTCCTTTGTGCTGATAAGGCCGGCATGTCTGAAGTGGGAACTTCACTGAGTGCAAAAGCACCTTTTTGTAGGCCAGTTTGGAGAGAAGCATGGAGCTGTAAGCTGGTAGAGTTTTAGCAAAAGATAAGACTTATGCAGTTGTGGATCAAACAACTATCAGAATCCAAATTAGCTGGGGCACAGGTATGAGTGTCTTCAAGGTGCTCCCTTTCATGGGTGACTAAGGAAAACAATACCTCTAGCATGGCAAAATCAGCAAAAGGAGATGGTACTTCTCTTTCTATAGTTTTTTTTTTTTTTTTGAAAGCTGGCAAGATTAATCTAGTAGTTTTCATTCTGTAGTGCTGAAAGTATTCTTTTAGATTTTTTATGTCTGCATTGAACCATTAAGACAGAGCAACACTATTTCTATTTTCTGAGCAATAATCAGTCTTTGAGACATTTTGAACAGCTTTAAAGTTGAGAAGCACTTTATGATGTTGTAGTCCCCAGTAGAAATTGGTAGAAATTATGTCATTGTCCAGACTAACTGCTAAAACATTTGAAACCAACAAAGTGCTGGTAAAATGATCACACAGTTCTATAGCTTTCCTTCTGTCTGTAGGGGACAATTTTCACAAAACTTGATGGGGGCGAGGTGAGAGGTAGAATCTTTAACTGTAAACTGTGCCTGCCTTGAACACAAGTGCTCTCAATGCACATTTAGTTGGCAAAGTAAGGAGGTTACTCTTTTAAAACAACAGTAAAGAGTTTTTATTGTAACTTTAAAGCATAATTTTTATACTTGAGAATCCAAAACCTGCTTTTAAGAAATTGGATTTGAAATAAGCCTTCCAAAGACTAAAACGAAGTACATTTTCAGAAGGTGGCCTTAGCTTTATTTTACCTAGCATCAGACAGCTAATTTTCTTCTTTTTTTTTCTTTTTTTTTTTTCCCCAGAAAGTCACTCCCAGTGCATTGCATGCATTCAGAAAACAGTGATTTTGTTATTCTCTTTTGCTGTTACACTACCCATAACGCTGACATGCTGTGAAACTAATTTAAAAGCTTATTTTAGAGTGGCCAGTGACAGAGTGTAGCTATTTCCTTAGACAAGTAAATTAATTGATATCGTGTATGTTCTTGGAGATGAAAACTGACTTTGATAAATGCATAGCTTTTGTTTCCTTTCAGAATATATCCATTGCTTACATTGGAATGTTGATTGGTGGAGATTACATATTCTCCATGTTAAACTTTATAGGGCTAAATATTTGGTGAGTAGAACTTGAATAGTTTTTATTTGTTAAAGCTGAAGATTTCTCAGTAAGATATAGTTTCATGTTGCATTTGATTTGGCCCACTTGGGTGATGCAGTTTTGAAACTACTGGCCTGAGGACACACTGTCTCAGGATATAAAGTTCATTACAATTAGTTATGTCTTTTCGTGTCTGTTTTCAGATATTGAATGTTACTATGGTAAGATCTTAACTATGGAAACATGCCTGCAGTTTTACTATGTGAGGTTGAGTTCACTCTTTTTTCATGAGCACCATGAGCAGCAGTTCTGAGCTGTGAGGCTTCCAAGTAAAAGCCAAGTGGTGCGGGAAGTGAGAACACTGATTGAATGAATTGTGCCCATTGAATATGAGTTATGACTTGTGAGTTGTTACTTTTTTTGTGTTTGGATGAACTGTTACATCTCTTTGTATGACTCTGCTGAAGCAACTAATAATTGATCTTTGTCTGCTTGGGGCTCGTTTCTCAGATGGCTTACATAGCTCTGAGGAACTCCTAATTTATTCTAGCTGGCATTCTTTAATCGTTTTGAAGGAAAGGCATATACCTATAAAATAATATATACAACATCAGGTACCTCTGACATGTCTGTTCATTCTCTTTTTTTTTTTAGTATGGCAGGAGGACTGAGATACTCATTTTTAACCTTAAGAGGAAGCAACAAGCATGCACAACCTGGGGATGAAGAGAGCTCACTTCCTGAGTCTAAGAGTTAACCAAAAGGCCTGCCTTCAAAGAGACCGAAGATAGAAGTTTGTTTAGCATTGCTGAGAACTTAAATAAGTATATGCTGGAATATATTTGGAAGGAGTAAAAAAAATCTACCTCAATTGCCACAGATGTGCACACAACTCATTGGTTCAGAAATATTCTTGCACACCATGTTTTTTACATGTGGACAAGTTTAATTTTACACCAGGAGCTAATTTATAGGAAGGAATGCCATGAGCAAATCTCAAGTTGTAAATTTCTTTATTTAATTGTACTTTGGTGCTGTTTGTTCTGTTTCAGTGTCAGACAGTACTCTCTGAGGCAAAACTGCCTGTAAAGATCATGAGGCTTGATTCACCATTGCCTTATGCCATATGCAATCTTTGATATCATTGAAGAGATGAAAGATGCTAGTGATTCAGAATGATTTCATGTATGCATTTGCTCTTGCGTAAGTGACTGCAGAACATATGGGGAAAAGAGGAGATACACCCCAAGACTGTTCCCTGTGTATGTGTTGACTGAAGAACTCAGGATATGGTCTAGTGTGTGAGGTATGCATTGTGTAGACATTGTCTCTCAATCTTTTCCTCAACCTGAACAACACCATGGTGTTCTGCTGCAATTGTCACTATTGCTAGAAGTGAACCCTCATAACTTTGCTGCCGAATCAAGGAGAGAAAGAAATTGAGAGAAGACTTTCTGTATTTAAAAAGATTTTTTTTGTGTGTGAGCCAGTACCAAACAGGTAATTGGGAGAAATAACAAAAGTAAATATTTTTGTTTAGGTACATTCGTCTTTCTATATCACAATCCCCTCCTCTGCTTTTTTGTCTGTAAGAACCTTTTAACGCTGCAGAGAAGTGATCGTAGTATATACAAACTACAAGAGGGGAGACTGATTGATATATGGAAGACTAACGTGTTTAAATGAGGAGAAAGGATCAGTGTCTTGTTGTGTCTTGCCGTGAAAGCTTATCTGGTAGTAAATTGTGCTTAAAATTCAGAATAAGGAATCTTAACAAGCCCAAGGGTTTGCTGCAGTGGGCAAGGCTGGTCCAGTGGTTAAAAAAAAAGAGAAGTCTGGAGTCTGATTGTTTGGGTTATCATCTGGGACAATAATGGCACTGCTCCGTATCTTTATTTCCTTCTCTGCAAATACAGTTGGTAATGCTCACCTGTCTCTGAGGATATAGTGCTAATCTTTGAAAACACTGTAGAAGCATTGCAGCACTGGAGGACAGCAGGATAACTAATCTTATTGAAGACTGCAACTCCCTGCAAGTATGAGCCAAGACTTTTTAAAAAAAATCAAATCAAGATTTTAGAGGATCATAACATGGAACCAGAGTGATCTAATGACTTGTTTTTTCCCTACTTGAGTTGAAATACAGGTAAATCTGTAAAGCATTACTTTGTGTGTAACATGTGAAGGACAAGAATGGATTAGATCTAAGAAACATGTGAGTAGCTCCTACCAGAAGCTTCACGGAATGACTGGGCTGCTGTCTGCCTGCGTGGATTTGAATGGCAAGAAAATGAGAGACTGCAGATAGTAGAAGTGGAATTTCAGGGCACAGTCAAAGTGGAAACAGAAGTCTGGGCTATCCAATTTCTCACAGCTGGCTAAGAGATGTGACTTTCATTTTCTGCCTATTGAAGAGCTGGGAAGGGGAGGGGTTGCTGAAAATATTTTAGGGATCTTCTGTTTTTAAAGATTTCCTTTCCCCTTAAAAAGCCTTTGATATTTTTGAGCTTATTCTTTTATAGGACTCCTGTTTCTCCAGATCATTGCTACCTCCAGAATGCTAATTATTGAACCTCATCTCTCTGTGGTGGAACAAGGCATTGGAAGGTTTTCATTAATTATGAAAAGATTGTGAGAGCCATTTGATTGCAATACAAATGGACACATAATGGCACCTGCTAAATAAGATCTAGTTCCCACAAGGGAACAGCTACTGTATGCATTTAATTCATTAATATTTTGCTGTACCTTTTATAAATAAAGAGATGCAGATTATAGTTTTAACAAGTTTTTGGTTTTTGTGTGGATGGACACATAAAATGCTTTTAAGCACACATGGATAGCACGAATATTTGCTTTCTGTATGATCAACTGCCATACTGTACTTGAAGTAGTTTCATTAGTTCATTCTGTGCTGCAGTGGAAGTGATTTTATTTAATTCACTGTTCATCAGATGTTTTTGAAGTCCTTCAGACTTGAGCTTCTCACCTAAAATACAGAGCTGATTCCTAAAGTCTTTATATTACTCAGAATAATTTAAAATATAAATTTAGGAATAAGCAAAAGTAAGTATTGTCTAGAAGAACTGGCAGGTGCTTGCATCCTTTCACAAAGCACCTCAGCTTCAGTCACTACTTTTTTTTTGTAGCTGTGGAGATAATGCTGATTCCAGTAAATTTGCTGGTTGAACCTCTGGGAATATGGGCTCAACCAGGCATAACTCTTACATTAGAATTTAGGCAACTATGGAAATGGCTGTTTCATTCAGAACCTCAATAATTATGTCTTTCAGTTAATGAAGTAGTAATTTAAAACTGATTTCTCTTAGGATACACCTGTAGGTATTCCTAACCTTACTTTTCTTCAGATCTCCTATTAGCTTAATGAAATACTAAAACAGTTGTAAAACTAGATGACTTACTTGCTATGTGAAGCTTCATTTTCTTTTCTTTTGGAAAAAATGGTAAAAATTGTTAGAGAAAACATTGGTCTTCAGAATGCATATGTGAAAGTTAAGTAGGCTAGTTTTAGTGAAAGGCTGGATTGAATTCTGAAAGTCACATTCCCTCACAGAAGTGTCTTGTGGATACGTGCTGCTGGCTACAGCTACTTGTTTTTCAGAAGTCAGTCCAATATTTTTAAAACTTTTTACGTTCTACATGTGGCCAGGTGTATTCTCAAGGGAACCTACAAAGAAACTTAAAACCAGTAACTGTATTGGAAAGGAATATTGTGCTTTATGTTGATCTGTTCATACTCTTAATTTTATAGGGATTGCTTAGCAGAGGGCTAGCTGTAATGGGATGAGATTAAGAGTAAGAAAGTACAGCGATCACCCAAAGGAGATTCCTACTCATGCAATGTGCAAGGGTCTTGCAATGATTCTTGTGAGAGTCAGAGACACAATACCTCAGGAAAAAAAAATTAGACTGGGCTAGGTGAACAATTCTTTACCTTCATAAGAATGTATTCTTTTTCCTTTCAGTATCTTGGCCTGATTTACAAATATTAGGCCCGTGAAGTACTGTAAACTTGTCTCAGACTCATTACCAGCCTCTAGAAAAGAAACCGGGCAGAACTGGAAATGCAAAAGGAAGGACTGGCAGTTACAGAAGTTTGCATTTTGTCTCCATCATCAAATAGAAGTGTTTTTGTTTCCTTTCATTTTTGGAGGTATTCAGCGTTGTTGTTGTATATGAAGAACACAGCGCAACTTGTTCAGATTTAAAGTATTCCTTGAATAGTGAGTGATTCTTTGGGGAATATGTGACTGTATGTAAATATTTTTTAAAATTTAATATTCAGATCTTTGTTGATCTGATTGGCCTTGTTTATGGGGTAAAACAACAGGTGGTATGGAAAACAGTAAGTGTACTGAAATTTTAAGAGAGGTTATGTGTGAGGAAGCTGGGTTGTTAAGTTGAGATGGTAATGATTTTTATATATTCTTGTTACGGATACAGTTAGTGTTACATTCCTTGTGATTCAGATGTCATCCGTACTCTGTAATACGTCTGCATACTGTGGTTTTCTAGCTGAAGGTGTCAGTAATGTGATAGTATTGCTGCTCTTCAGTGGGAGATTTCTGGGTGTCAGGTTTTGGTTAAATTTTAACTATGATTCATGTTAAATGGGGAAGAATATCATTAAAATATATAGACGAATTTTATTTTATCCTAAGTGCGTGTGTAAGCATCAGTGTTTCTCTTCTCCAGTTTAAACTGATCTTTAAAAAATGGATAATGTTTCAAATTGTCACTACGAAGAAGGGTGAAGCTTGTTTCTGTGCCTTTCCTCAGAAATTCCACATGTTAACTTTTTAAAATTTTTTATTCACTTGAAGTCTGAATCATACTGATTTCATGTTTGTCTTGCAGTGAGATACTGTTCTTATAGGCATTTTTACCCCTCAAGGTTTTGATACATGTCCTCAACTTTAATACTAGTTCAAACTTTGTTCACAAAAGCTGAAAGTCCTATTCCTTGTTAATAGCTTACTGCTCTTCATGCCAGAATCACACCATTTGTAAAATGGGTGTAATGATATTAACTTCTTTTCAGAAGACTTTTTGGAAAGTTGTATGATATTGCTTTTCTCTGTATAGAAATAATGAGGTGAGTTTAGTAACCTTTCATTATTTTGTCTTCGAATTTGTAGATAAATCTGTTTTTCTGGCCTCCCCACATGTTCAGTGTGAACTTGCCCGGGAAGTCTCTGGGCTAGAGTTTAACTCCTCAGCACTGTAAGTAGTAGTGCTGATGTGTGTTATCTCCAAGGTTTGGAGTATTGTTATCCAGGATTTTGATTTAGACCCATCTTCAGTCTCTATGAATCCTAAACAATGACAATAAAATTATTTTTTTTTCTCTCTGGTCTTGAGTAGTTTCCAGAAAAGGAGCGAAACCTTTCCTCTAAAGCAAGCACCGGGAATCATTGTTTAGTTAGTATTTTTTCAGTAGTTTACAAATCTGGGTGTAATCTGGAGATGTTATTCTAATCTAAACCCTGGACATTCCTTGGAAAAAGAAAGCCACGTGATTTGATTAGACTTCTCACTTCCCTGCCAGTGCTCAGAGACTAGCAGCGTGCTGGAAAGAGGCATTTCCTGGGGAGAGAGCAACTGATTCATACTAGCTCACTGCCTTCGCTCGCCATGGAAGCGTTCCAGCATCAGCTTCTCACTCTTATTGGGGGTCTGATCTGTTTGTATGCTCTGGTAAAATGCATCAGATTTATGAAATATGTTTTCCCACATATCTGGAGTGCTTTGCCTCAGACTTTTTTTCGGTCGCTGGGAGAATGGGCAGGTAAAGGAAACTTCTTCACCTTCTTCTTCTTGTAACTGAATAGTGGATTGTTACATTGCTAATCGGGAGTGGTTTTCCTTGCATTTCCTTACCCTGTCCCTTCAGAACAAAACACAGTTTCCACTCGGTGTGGTTTGTTCAATTTCTTTTTGTTTTCTCCTAGTAACTTGGGTCCTATAAGCCTGAAGGTTTTCTGTACTTGGGGAAAATAGCAAAATAGTCAAACTGGTAACAGCTCACACACCCGGTGTGTAGATTTGAATTCTGTCCCCATTCCTCTCTCTCATGTTTTTTCTCTGCTGAAAATGCTTTAGTTTTAATAGCATTGTCTATATCCTCAGTTTCCTGATATGTGAAGCAACAAGTTTATGTCTAGCATATGGTATCCACTTTTCAAAGCAACTTTTCTTTGTTTGTGGTGATGTTGCTCCAGTGTGTTTTTTCCAAACTAGTGACCTATCCTTAGTGGTGCCGTTAACCAGCCAAATCTACTCTAGCCTAAAAACTTCAAAGGCTGCAACTTGGCAGTACTTTTAAAAAGATATTATGCATTCTCATAAAATAACAGAAAGGTTTGATAAACACCTTCCTACTGATCATTGATGTTTTTCTTAAACGTGTTAGATTATCAGTATGAAACAAGAATGAGCAACTACTGCAGTTTCTGAGCCCAGGAGGGCTACAGATCTCACTGATGGTGGCATCTTGTTCAGAAGTGAACCAAACAGGATGCTTGTCCTTTGTCCCTTTCCCCAGCATCAGAGACTTGATGTGACTGGATTGAATACGTGTTTTAATACGCACGTCTCACAGTGGATTAATAAGAAATTAAATCCATCCGCGTAAAAAAGACCTGCCTGAATACCAGCGGCTTCTGAAGCAATATGCAGGTCTCGTTTTGATTTAAGTGAGGCAGGGACCTCCATTCTGTGCATGAAGTGAGGAGCAGACTGTGGAACTTTCTGTGTAAAATCCTTGTTTCTGCTGAAGGTTGGGAGACTTGTTTCCTTCAGTGAACCTTTTATGCTCTCTCCTTTTTATAAACATGAAGTCTTAGGGGGCCCAGTAAAATTCATGAGGCTTGCAGGATTTACTGTATCATGTGGCACGTGAGATCCTGAGAATCGTGAAAATTAAAGGTGGCAGGTGGAAGCTTGTTTCCCAATAGACTCTTGCTTTTCGCCTGCAAGTCTGATAGAAAGCTAAAGATCCACTGCTGCTTCACTTTTCTCTGTGAAATTAGAGAGTAACCACTCTTCTGTTGCTAGAGCACTTAACCATTCAAAATCACCTTGCTTCCCCAGTGCCTCTTGCAATTTAGAAGCACTTAATTCACATTTTTTTTCAATATTGACTAATTTTCCTTTTTGCCCTGAAAACTTACCAGGTCTAGCTTGGGATTCCTTTGGTGCTTTCCTCCTTAATTTATTTCTTCTTTATTTCTAAGGTGATAACGATTTTCTTTCTATAGTTCCTCTTTGGTATTTGTTTGTGTAACATTTGAAGTTCATTGTGCTTCACGAATGCCAAAGCTTGTTTACTTTCCCAGCAACACTAAATCCAAAGGTAAACTGTATATGACATCTCTGAAGGAAGAACATTTTATAGATGGTGGTAAGTTTGCTGTGATGTTTCCTTACAGACAGATTTCTTGTGTGAGAAAGTGTTAACATCAGCTTTGGTCACCCACTTAGTCCTTATCTCCTACCATTCTGCCACCAGCATAGAGGTGAAAAACTTGCAAAGCAGAACTTGTGAAAATATGTATATGGAAGAAAATTCTACCGCCTCTTAGGCAATTGGCTTGTTGCCGAGACGATTGTTGCTTAGGTGATTGACTTGTTGCTTGTTGTTGATCCCACTGAAAATGAGAGTAATAACTACCTACTGCATCACACAGGTTACTGTGGGGAGAGATTTGAAGAGAAAGTGCTAAATGAAGTAACAAAAAGATTAAAAGGTTACAAGGAAATACATTTTTAACAGATTGATTCCGTCCTTCAGCAGAAGCGTTTAGGTTACAATGTTCAAGAGACACAAATGATGAAGATTAAAGAATTCAAGAAAGAACAGGCAAAAGCAAAGCTCTAAATGCAATCCTTATTCTTCTTTTTACTTTCTCCAGTGGTCACAGGAGCAGGAGATGGGCTTGGAAAAGCGTATTCCTTTGAGGTAAGATAGATTACTTACCCTTAAGTTTATTTTAACAAAATGGCAATTGCCACCCCTTCATCAGTCTCTGCAAATTAGTAAAATTATTCTAGGATTCAAAGTCACTATGACAAACATGGTGCTAATCCCTTTCCCCTGTATGTGCAGAATGACATTAATCAAGTTCTGAAGGGAAAGTGCTGCATTTCAGAGGAATGTCATTCATGCCTCAACAGTCTTGTCATACCAAGGAAATAAAATGAGAAATCCAAAAGATTTCACATTGTCTGTTCAGGGTAGGACCTGTCCTCAATTGTCCTTTTTTCCCCAGTTTCTCAGCTAATTTGCTTTTTGACTTTTGGTGGGGTGATCCAGCGTTAGCACACAAAGTGTAATTTTCTAGCCTTTACACTTGCAAACACATTTTGAAGGATGACTCTGAAACAACAAATGAAGGAGAAATCTGTATAAATGAGGGAAAAACTAGAGCTTATGGAAATCATAAGGAAACCTAATGGTTTAATTAAGAATTGGTAGCTCTAGGAGGCTGCATGAGGAGAGAGGAGCTCTGTGCTGTCACTGCAGCTGCTGCTGTGCAGTCACTACAGCTGTCCCTTTGTATTCACCTGTGCTAATCAACACTGAAGGCAGGGTGGCCTTGTACTGTCTTGTACCAGCCCTGCTATTAGTGGCAGTGACTGAACGGCAGATTTTCTCAATGGTGTCTTCATTCAAAACCGAGTCACTTTCTAGAAGCTAAAGAGCAATGAAACACAAGTTGTCTTCAGAGCTGAGGTGACCAGGTGGAAGTTAGCAGCCTGTGATATGCAAGAGTTGAGCTGTGATGCCTTCTGCTCATAAATTAGAAAATATATCTCAGAGGAAAGGAAAATGAGTTGGCTTTTGAATTAATTTAGAGGGTTTTTAAGGTAGTCTTCTTAAGTGTATGCATTAGTTAAGCACCTTCCTCGTGATTTTCATTAGTAGGAATGGCAGTACAATAACTGCTTTTGAAAGTGCATTGAATGTAGGAAGCACAAAGACAAATACCAGGTATTACAGTTTAACATTTGGCATAGTTGTGAGAAAGACGACAAGCTCTTCTGTGGGAGAGAAGGGAAAATGTTGCCTCTTTCTGCTCACTGAGTTGCTGTAGTGATGAGCAAATAGGAAGGGTCTGATCAGTACACAGGTCGGGGGGAATGGGGTAGGATTGAGATAGGGAGACGAGTCAGAAATGCTTAAACATTTATTTAACACCGTGCTTGTGGGTACATGCAGCTTGCTTTGTGTGTGAGCACCTGGTGATATTTTATCCATGTGGAGGCTGTAGGAACCTATGAATGTCTAGATCAGAGCCTCTGTCATTTTTCTGCTTCCTTTGTCCTATATGGGTTATGCAAAAGTAAATCCCATTTAAAAGGCCAGCTATAGCATGTGAAAGGCTGCTTTATACTATGAGAAAAAATAAAACAACTACTGTGGATTTTTTTAAAAAAAACTTGGCTGGAACTGGCTAGATTTTGTGGAACATTTGTTCATTATTTTTGGCTTTTGTGGGATGACTGAGAGCCATCTTTATCCATGCTGAGATGTACCTTCCTCCCCAGGTGGTCCCTTTGATTCAAGCTGTGCTCAGCTACTGCTCTGTGGGGCAGATCCCAGGCCCACACCACATGAGCTCATAGCTTGGCACATCATCTTGCTGGCTGAGGTCGAATACGCACTTGTGTGTGGCTTGTGGATAAATAAATCTGACCCTGCTGTTTTAATATCTGTGTGCCTTTGGAGTTTCTGGCTCAGCACTGCTGTCTTGCTGGTCTGATGTTAGGGTACAAAATTCTCTGATGTTCTTCTGGCCTAGGTTCCTCTGGTGTTATGGGCTGGTGTGAAGGGAAGCCTTGTTTGATGGTCACCATGTCTGTTCTTCTAGAGTTTGAGCTCTGACACCAAGTGCTGAATTTCTTTCTGACATCCTGAGCTCACACGTGGGTTGATAATGATTCACAGCTAATCTAAGGGCTCCACACTTGTTGGTAGTATATGGTACAGGAGACTAAGGAGAGCAGTTATTGCGTTTTGGAAGGATGACTGTGATGTGACTTTCTCTGTTCCGTGTTTTACGTGGAAGTCCCAGTAGGTGGTTCATTGGGTAAAACCCAGCAGACTGAGGTCCCCTCAAAGATTACAATATTTACTGCTTCAATACCCTTGTTTCCAAGGTTTATGGCTAGGTACAGGTCTCTTCAAAGTCTCTTAAGCTCAAGAGGTGGCTGGGGCTGTATGAAGAGCCTGGTAGCTGTGAGGTCTCAGAACACTACCTTGTTCGTGCTGGGACACAGATTTTTCAGAGCAAATCATTGTCTCTTTAGTTTCCTGAGCTTGTATTGAGAGGCAAGCACACAGAGAACTTGAGCTTATCCTCTTCTGCATAAGTGTCCAGGCTTCCAAGAAGGCTCTGTTTGTATTTCTAGTGCATCAGAGTGATTTTGAAGGACTGGCCTTCTTGAGCATAAAGACCCTGGCTTTTTAACAGACTGCTGTGTTGTCAGAGTACTGGGATTTTGGATCTAATTCACTCTACTTATTTCAAAAGCGAGCTTTCTGTTAGATTTGGCCCATTAGTTCTTGGGCTGATGGGATTTAGACTTACCAGACTTGTAACAAGGAACACAAACAGGTCAACTGTGAGTGTGCTGCTAGGCTGTCACGTCTCTACCCAGTCGTTAGCATTTCTGGTACTGGTGCAGTCTTGTTTGTTCTGTTTTTCTGATGTAATAACTACAGACATGTTTAGTATCTGTTACTGACTTAGCACCTCAAACATGCTGGGTTTATGGAGGAGGCCATGCCATACTCTAAGATGTACAGTTTAGCCTCTGCATACTTCTCATCTGATATCAGGGCACAAGCAAGATGTTGGTGGCTCACATGATCACCATTTTTATTATTGTTAATAGTGCATAAGTCTCTTATAAGTCAGTACAGTGCTTATGTTTAATCGATGTTTTAGCAGATTATTTTCAGACAGACACTGCACTCATGTGTTAATACAACAGTTTCTCAAATCTTAAACCTTTGTTTCATTTCCTGAAATTGTGCATAGTATTACCAGCAGTGTAATACAAGATAAATATGATAGGAGGTTTCTGGCTTCAGTTGCAAATGTACTCTGATTTCTCCACTTGGTCTTGGATTTATTTCTGTAAATACTGCTATTCTACTTGCATTGCACAGGTGAAAAGCTAGCAGAAAGATTGCAGAATCCTTCTGCCCTGTTGTCTCAGTCCTGGTGTGCTGGACCAAAAAGGGAATCATAGAGACCCTACAGGTCTGAAGCCTGAGTGAGGAGAGGAAAGGGGTGAAGCACTGAGGCCATATCAGCACAGTCCTGAGGAAGAGAGAAGAATCTTTTTTTGTAATGTGTAGAAGTTTATGGTAGGCAGCTACAGAATCCATAAAGCATTATTAGGGATTTTAAATTATTACATCTAAAGATCCGTGTGGGGTATAACCAATTTGTCAGGGTAGCAGCAGTAATTACATGCATGGTTTGAATCTAAAACCTGTGTCTTGCCTTCCATGAAACTTTATTGTTTAAAAATTCACCTCAGGCTGAGCTGCAAAAGCACACTAGAAAATGCATGGTGACTTTATACTAATTTAATGTAGGTTTAAACGTTTTAACCATGAGTTTGTGAGATTCCAGAGTGCTTATCCTGCTTGACCTTTCTGCATTATTAGTGCCATTTCTAAATGCTAAGTTGTCATAATTCGTTATGGCTGGATCTGCTAATAATCTTACGTTTTGGCAGACTGATGTTCAGGAGCATTTTAGTCCCTTGCCACTGGGCGTCAGGATTTCCTAACACAAGCATGTTCACATTACACAGTGCTGAGGGCCAGTCCTTATTCTCAACTGTGAGGGGAAATACCATCCTCTGACATCAAAGCCTTTGTGTGTTCAGAAAATGCCTTGTGCTAAAGACGTCTACGTTAAAAGTTACCTTTGTTTGAAAGGTGGTGGTGTTAAACCTGATTTAACCTTTCCTGTGGATAGCCAGGAAATTCTTTTTTAAGTGCAGTTCTTGTTTGCTTGGGGGTGCATTTGAATCTCATGGTAGTTTCAATGTCCTATGAAACCTATTTCTGAAAAGGATATACCTTTTCTATGTGGGTGAGGAAGCAAAAAAAGGTATTCAGGTGTGTGGCCTCTTTTGCCTTGAGAAATGGCTGCTATAGCCTTTTACTTCTGGTTATTCCGGTATACAGCAGTGAGGAAGAGTCCTCTCACCTGGCAGTTAACAATTTTATAAGATAAGCACAAACACGTGCTTTTAGCTGAAATAGGGTCCAATCTTAGCAACAGGAATAGGTTTTTACTTAGGTTTAGGAGGGATTTTTCCCTTCTAAAAAATTAAAATAGACCCCATCCAAACACACCCAAACGGCAGAAAGGAGCAAGCAACTGTGGAAACGGAGACCACGTCTCTGATTGGAAACAGCTTGAGTCAAGCTCATTGTGGACAAAGGGAAACCTGCCAGTATGTAGGCAATTAGAGTTCTCACCCTGAAAACTTCAAATGGAGTCCTTAAAACAAGCTTTCCAAACTCCTGAGCATCTAAGTCTGTGCAGGTCTCTTTGGAGCACCGGTCAATTATGTTAGAGGGTCTCCAAAAGCACAGAATTGTGAGCAAGCTCTTTGTGCTGAAAATGCAAATGGTTTTGGCTGATGCATGTAATGGACGGTCCGCCTCTTGTACTCTCAACGTAGCAAAATTTTAGACAAAGGTTCTTATTCCTTAAAATTCTCTGCATTGTTTCAGAAGAGCCCATCAGGACAAACAGTTTCCCTCAAATAGGTTTAAGGAGAAAGCATTGCAGGGAGTCAGCTATGGAAATGAATGAGTCTTCAGTGTGTGGCCTTTGCGGGTTAGTTTCTTCTTCTAAGCAAACCTGGTACTTTCAGATGATATTGGCTTTATCTTTTGTGCTGACTAATTTAGCTCTCTTTCTCATTGCTCTCAAGAGCATTTTTCTAATTTCAGCTTTATCTTTCCTTTCTTTATGCACACAAATACATTCAGCTTCCACTTGTTCATAACTTAGTTTCAAATCCAGGGCTATGTTTCTCTCCCAGGCTTTGCCTAAAACTCCCTAACTGGTGGGAATGGGAGGCCTCAGGAAAACAGGAGAAAACCATTCTTTATTTGTTCTGCACATGGTAATACCAAATTGACCATAAACAGACTGCTGTGTTAAATAGTGTTTGCAGCTATAAACTTCAACTGTTGCCAGCATCTTTGCGGATGTAAATTTGTGTGACTGTATTTTGAGGTTTTATGCATGGCCTTCACCTTTTTTCCTTGGTTTCTTTTTTTTTTTTTTAGTTTGCATCTAATGAAAAAAATCAGTTAAAATTTATCCATCTGACCTGCATCTGATTTTATTTCTACTAAAAAAAAATGAATAAAGTCCAAATCCTTTCAAAGTCTTGAATCTTCAATTCAATATGCTTAATCTTCTTCCTCAGGATAAAAAAAATGTGAGGGTGGAAGGTGGTGTTGTAAAATGACTAGGAAGTCATCAACATATTTGGCCTCCCAAATCCAAGTAGAAATAAAAGTGTGTTTCAGGGAAATGTCATGTTGCTTTCACTCCCTGCAGACTTTCATTCATTTGAAATTGGCTCAGATTATTTATTTTTGTTCATATTATTGGAGTTTGATTGTTGTCCAGTATATTTTTCTTGTAAGGGTCCAAGATTTTACAGTGGAGGAGATGTTTTGGAAGACTGTTAGAAGACTGATTATTGTTTCGCCTGGTTTTAATAACTGTTGTTTACCCGTTAGGCAGATGGCAGGTGAAGGAAACCAATTTAAAATGTCCATGATTGCTTTTATTGCAAAACTGGAAAAAAATGAAAGATTCTTGTCACCTTATTGTTTCCTAACAATTTTTATATTCCTCTCTTGTAGCTGGCAAAACGTGGATTAAATATAGTTATGATAAGCAGAACTCTTGAAAAACTGCAGAGAGTAGCCTCTGAAGTTGGTAAGTGTTTGTCTCAAACTTTTCTTCCCATTTAGCAGGCTGCCTTTACAGGGATCTGAAGGTCTCTTCTCTTGGTACAGTATCTAGTACAGTAGGGCTCCAGATATTGCTACAGATATAGCACGAGTTATATGACAGTACTACAAATAATTTTTGGTATTACTGTGTAGCTTGAGCCCTTCTAGTCATGGATCACTTAAAAAATATATGCTATCATTCAAACAGCACAATGGGTTTGATAAAAAAAGTGAATGTGCGTTCTTTACTGGCTTCATCCACCCTTCTGTAAACAGAAGCAAAGGAGATGTAATACTAGAGCTGTTGGAGAGATCTTATTGGGAAAATAAGGTTACCTTTAGGCTTGTTCTTGGAACATAACAAAGGAAGAATAAAAACAAAGTTAAGGTATCTGGTTTGGTTTTGGTTCGGGTGTTTTTTGTTTGGTTGGGTTTTTTGTTTGTTTTTTTTTTAATGTTTTCAAGTTACATTTGGCTTTCGATAATTCTAAAGACACACTGTTTATTTGCTTTAATGTTCCCCTTTTTTCCTACAAAGGAAATTAGCCGTGTATCCTGGGGAATGGCTTGTTTAAATATGTTAAGACTGACAGTTAGGATTTCTTTAGGAGTCAAATTTATATCCTCCATTAACTTTAAAGATTGCTGTAATCAAGGTTGTTCTTCCCACTGTCTCTTTTTCCATACATGGCTTCTATCAACCAGATTCCTTGATTCACATGTTCTTGTGTTAAGCATGTGTGACTCCAAGACTACACCCCTTCCCTGTAAGCAGGCTTAGCAGCTGACTCCAGCAGAGTACCAGGTCCAGGATACTGACCTGCAGAGAGGGCAGTGCATCTCTCGGAGACATGGCAGGCTTGAAGTGGGTGAAAAAGTCTGTAACTTCCGAACCTGCAGCTATCAAAATCAAGGATTGGACCCTGAAATTTTGTGTCCAATTTCCCTCTCTTTCTTTCCAGGGATAGCCTTGTTTTCCCTTGTGAAGCAAGGGGTATCAGAGGAGCAAAGCACCAGCTCCCTGAATAGTCTTTATAAGCAGTCGTATCCATGATACCAATGTGACTATGGCCTACACTAGCCTCTCTTAAGTAAACAGCCATAAAAAAAATAATTTCTGTGGGAATTAGGTCAGCTCTGGTGTCATTGTTGCATTTATTTGTAGCTGTTAGAGAATTACAATAATAGAAACCTGAAGGAAAAAAGGTTAAAGTGCTTTTATAGTTTCTTAGTATTGTAAATTATAATCAGAAGCAAAGAATGAAAATACAAAGATTCCTGAGACTAACATAGCCAAGTAAAGAAAAGAAGTGGTGGAGGGCTGGAAAGATGATATACTGTAAACTCCTCTGCACTGTGATTTATTATAAGGCCGTCCACTGGCCACCTTCCTAACTTGAGGCCATGCTGTGCTGAACTGTGTAGCAGCATGTCATGAAGGACTTGCTATGTTCTCAAAGGTACTGCGGAGACAGCCTGCCCTGCAAATGCTGCTGTGCCATGCGCAAAAGTGACCTGTGACTTTTCGCATGTGAGGAAACTTTACCAACTGCAGCAGCGTTATTCATGCAATCCAAGGTGCGGTGAGGTGGGTGGTGTGACCCCGCCAGGAGCTCAGGCTATGCTCATCAGGTTTCTGTGCTATGTTCTGTTGGGTTGTGGGCATAAAGAGTCATCCCCAAAGCTTGCTGAAATTGGTGGCAAATCCCAGCGAGACCTTTCCATTGTTTTCAGTGGGTTTTGGCCAAAGCCCAGAGTGACTCATCTGTTATTTATTTTGTCAGGTTGACAATGAGTACATAACAACAAGTAGATGGCACAAACAAAAGGAAAGAGAGGAAGATATCGTGATGAAAAGCATAGGGTATCTGACCTGGAGGCCACTAAAATCAGCAGGGAGCTCTGGATGAGGCCTTATGTTAAAGTGTTGGAAATGTTCCATTGATTCCAATTTTCAGACTCAGGCTTTACTGTAATTGAGCTAAGCAGTCATTGGGAAGGAAGAAAAGTTAAACTTACTGTGATGTTATGTGAGTAAATAAACAACGGAAACCAAAAATTAAGCAGAAACTTAACCAGAATGATTGCACTGTTTTCTAAATTTTCTAACTCTCACTGACTTTTTCTTTCTAAACTGCTTCAACAAGCAGTATCTCACTCCATGCAGCTATCATTACCCTGAACTACCATGCAAGGAGATTAAGCAGAGAGAGAAAGAAAAAAAAGTTTGGTTTAGGCTATGTAAATTTGTTGCAGGACTGGATGCATTACTCTTGTTTCCTTTTTCTCAACTGCTGAACCAAGGGGTTTTTTTTCAATCAGTTAGACACTGCAATTAAAAGACTTGCCTTCCTTTTCAAACTGATGGTATTATTTGCCTAAACATACTGTCACATTCAGTTTGGATACTGAATAATATAAACTAAGAGTCTAAACCATGGGTAATTTCAGAGATCTCAGTGTTTGGCTTTCCAAGTCCTGTGGGCCACAGGTGTGCCTGAGAACAGCTGTGGGAGCTGAAGCAGGCAGAAATCCACAGTAAGAAATATGTTTTTCTAAAGAAGCACTGGAATTGAAAACCAGATTTCCATCCAGTCAGACTGGAAAGCTCTTTCACAGTGAGATAAAAGATAACAAAATAAGTCTTGTGGAGGACCGACAGAGAGGACCATTACACCAGGTATACTGCTTATTTAACACATTTAGTACCGTGGTTGTGAAACTTTGGTCAACCCATAAAACTGGAAGATTAGAAACGACGGCATGCTATTAACCACCCTCCTTTTTCATTGCTTCTGCCTATATTTCCTAAGCAAGCTGTACAGGTAGAGCTGGGTCCTGATTCAAAAGTCATGCCTTAGGATCTATTTACGTGGCCAGAGTCTGTAGTGTTTGGCTGTTAATGCCAAACAAACAAAAAAAAAAGCTACTTCTGTAAGACATAAAAATTATTCACAAGGAGACTGGTTGGGTTTGGGGGTTTGTTTGTCTTTTTTATGGGGGTGGTTTTTTGGGTGTGTTTGGGTTTCTTTTGTGGTTTTTTTCTTGGTCTTTTTTTCCAAGAAGAAAAAAATCTGTATTTAAGGAAAGACAAGATGTGTGATCCTCAGAAAGCAGTAGAAAATACAGCTGTACCAGTTTAGACTAGCTGAGCACATGGTTAATGAATTTGGGTTTGGTGATGCAGGAAGTAGTTAATCCACCTTTCTCTCCTGAAATTATGCCGATTAGCACAGAATCAGGCACTGAATAAAAGAAATCACCCCACATGGTCGAGAACCACATGTGCCCTGCTCCCACTAAGACCTGTGGAGGTGACGATTCATGTAGCTGTCCCCCCCTGCTACTGGTTCAGTTTCCAGTCTGCTGTGCCGTGTCTTCTGCCTCTTGTCCCTCCTGCTCCGAGTCCTAAGCAGGTAACAAGCTGAGATCACTGATGAGTGTAAAAGAACTCACTTGGCACAGCCCTCCTTGATCCTCAAAGGCTCTTAAAAAGGCCTGTTGTGTCGTGCTGGTCCCTTGAGGTAATGCATTATTGCTCAGGACTGTTTTCCCAATATGCGCTACTGCATAACAGAGCACTTCAGGGTCTTGACCGATGTTCTGAGTGCTCTGGTAGAGAGGTTTTTTGTTCATTGAGTTTGTGTTCTGTGGTACCTTCTATCATCTTTCGCAGTTCTGCTTTTACACTCATTGTCTTTGTTTCTTCTCTGTTTTCCCACTATTTCTGAAACTGCGTTATCTTATATTTCTGAGGACACACATTTCTCCAAAAGGCTTTAGAAATGCAGCCAGAACCTGTGCTTTGTAACCTAACAGAAATTTTTATATTTCTCTCCAGTCTTAAATCTTTTTTAAACCTCTTTCTGTTGTTAAAATAACTTCTCATTTTGCTCTCCTCTCTGCAAATTTCCGTGGAATATGAATGCCATCTTAGCCTGAGTGCTTCTCCCCTCACATTCAAATTTTGCTGTAGTACTTCAAAAGGGTCTCCTCTTTCTAGAAACATCAGTTCTCCTGTCACTCAGGCATTCATTTTGCTACCTCAGGTTTTCAGAAGATTTTCAAAACTCTCTAAACAGAAAAGGAGGGTTTCTGGCACAAGGCATGTCCTAACCAACTTCATGCTTCATCCTGATTTATTCTCCTCTTGGTGAATTTGAAAAGGCAGCACATTATCCTATCTGAGAAGTGGGATTCCCCAGTGATCTGAGGTCAGAAGGAGTTAGATGTATTCTTCGCAACGATACATTGTATAACACATGGGATTAAACAACTCAGTTCAATTTTTCCTTAAACAGGTTTTCTCTCCATTTTTGAAAAAGTCAATAACCTGTCCTGATGTTTGAAAACCTAGGCTTTTTGCTTCTGGCATGCTTAGGACTTTTAAAAAGAATTGGAATGGCTTGTGTCTTCAAAGACTGTCGTAAATCTTTGTCACAGAGAGGGAGAGACATAAGAAACATTGGAAGTTATTTTTTGGCTCTGTCCTTTGCAGAATTGTTATCATTTGCTGAAGAGCTATTCCTGCATAATTCATTTATCAGCATGATGGTTTTATTGTTTTTTAATATATTGTTTTATTCTTAAATGAGATAGAGGAAAGCCATCTGGAGTGCTTGTTTGTTGGCTGAGAGTGCTGGTTGCAGCAGTACAGTTCTGTACAGACAAGGGGATGCAGAGAAAGTCCAACTGGTTTGTTTGATCCTCATTTTTATATTGCACTAGTTTTGGCTGCCCTTCTCATTGCCCGCAAGAAAGATGGCCACAACATCACTACACTTTTTAAGACCATCTCATTTTGTTTATAGAGCTCTTCAATCAGAAGGTCACTGTAGGTGTCTGCTCCAGCTGTTGCTCTGTTCTTTCCCTTCACTGCATTTACACTCACAATGTCCTTTTCTTTATAGCTGTACCATTCCCCCAGCCGGGGACCACTGGGGGGTCATTTGCCACTAGAGTTGCTTTTATAGGTTGAAGGTTCAAAGGCTGTTTCGTCCCTTTTATACACACAACGGCAGCTTGGAAAGAGGGCAAGAAAAAGGGCACTCCTTCCTCCTTTCTTCTGTCACGGAGACAGATGTCCTCTAAAATTGCATACAAGACGCAGCCTGCGTTTCATATCTGGAGTCAGAGCATCTGCTGTTTCTTCAGACCGCTTGTGTTACACGGGTCGTGTAAAGTGGTTGAGACTTGCGGTGTAGCGAGGGGCAAGGAGGGAACAACCCAGAGGGAACAACATCCTCTCACCCTCCAACGCAAGCCTGTCTTTTCTGCAAACTGTCCTGCCGGACCCAAAGCCAGCTTTCTGCCAGCTTGGCTCTCCCGCCAGAGCTGGTGCAAGGCCTCTCCCTAAATTCTGAACATACCCAAGGGACGAAGCAAGATTTCTGGGTAAAAAATCAGTGAGCCTGATTCCTATTCAAGGCAGTGCTCCCTGTCACCTGTATGATAAAATCAAGCTCCAAGCAAGCGGAGGCTGTTTCACAAACAGGGTGAAAAGCAGACTTTCTGCCATCCGCGTGTACCTCAACGCTCGCCACTTGCAGCGAGCCTGCAATCTGATCGTCTACTGGCATTTCCAAGCTCGCTTGTCACTTTTTCGGCAAACTTTGTCTGGATTTCAGGTTACCCATAAAACTTGAAAGCAGGTTTAGTAGCAAGAATTTACAATGTGAACACCTAGTTAGAAGAGACCTTACTGGGCCCCTTTAAAGGAGAACCTTGCCTTTAAAATCAGTAAATAAGAGCCTCTACCTCTTTTCCTCATGAAACGTCATTGAAAATATGAACAGCAATAAATCAACTGCTGAGAAAAATGGTAATGTACAGCTGGGCTTTACTCCTGCATAGCAATGACACTGGAAAAATCATACACATTTCCCTTTCCTTTCTGTGTATATTGACCTTGTAAAATTTAAGCTATACCCTCCCTTAAATGCCTTCTAGTCCTGCAAAATCCTGGGCAAGGTTTAGTCTATAGGAGTGCAAGTGTCAAAAAAAGAGAGGGGTCATTTGAAAACAATGCAGAAAATATTGCATCACATCCAGCCCTGTTTTCCCCTCCTCCTACATGAAAAGATAAGTTCTGCTTGTTAAAATGTTCATTTTATGTATTAAAACACTTTAAAACAGTTCTGCAAAACTGTACTTATGTAGAGGATCTGACACCCACATTCAGTTGTCTAAGGTATGCTGACAGTGTTCACTTATAAATATTATGATAACCTGATTGTTTATTTCTAGGGTATTTTTTTTACTGAAGGAACAAATGGTGTTTAGATTTTGTGAGGAAAATTTCAGGGCATAAGTGCATCCTATATTTGCTAGGCCATGTCCTTGAGAACAACTGGAAAAAGTGAGTGTTGTTTTACTTGTGTTTTGATCTTTCTTAAAGCGAGAAACTTGAAACTATTGCTTACTGTACAGCAAACATTACTGAATGAGACATCCGATTGTTTCATTACTTAATTACAGCTTTCTCTCTCTCTGGGTAGATGCAAAGGGGCTTTCTATTTTTTTTTCTTCTTAATTACAGAGCAGGCCACAGGTCAAAAGGTGAAGGTTATACAAGCTGATTTCACCAAAAATTCAGTGTACGAGAACATAGAAAAAAATCTACAAGGTTTGGATATTGGTGTTCTGGGTGAGTCACTGAGGTCTGTTAATTGAAGAGTATTTTATGGCTACAGTGTATTAAACAGGGAATTGTGTAAATGATGTGTCGTAACAACTTGTTAGCCAACACTTAAAATCAAGCATACAGCTGCCTAATGCATTTGAGCATTAGCTATCGTGAAGAAGTTTTAGAAGTGACTTAGGACTCTCCAAAGGCTTCCTGTTTCTCTGTACAGTGGCTTCTTTACTGTGAAACCTCTTCTGCCACTTTATAAGCAACATCCAACTTGTGGGGTGACTTCTTCCCTGTTTGGCCTCAAGGAATTAATTTTCATTATTGGTTGTTTTACGGCTGTGTGCAATTCTTATATTCAATCTGAAATGAGCCTGTGGCTAACACTAGTTGGTACGATCCACAAAACAACAATGAAAACGTGTTTTGGGGGGAAGTTTTGGGTTTTGGTTTTTGTTTTTTTCTTTTTTTTTTTAAAGAAAATCATGCTTTTAATAGTGAAACAAATGAAACACCAACAACAAAACACAAACAAACAAGCAAACCCCCAAACTGTAACAACAGACTGTTTTTTGGTTCCCTGAAGTCAATACTGATCAGTACCGATGACTTCAGTGAGAAAAAGACTCAATGCTAAATAGCATTTCTCTTCACATAGAGCTCAAAAGCTTCTGAGTCTCAAGAAGCCATTTGTTTAACTAGCTGAACTATGCACTTTGTCTAGATTTGTTTCTTATCATTATGTTTCCTTTGATCAGTTAACAATGTTGGAATGCTTCATAATCCTCTTCCATGCCGTTTCCTTAATGGACCAGACATAGATGAGGTAGGATTACTCTGTGGGTTTCTACTTCCAGTATAACAATGAGGAACCGTAATTCCACTTAACAAAGGGCAGATTCTGCCCCTGCTGCAATCAGAACACGTTTAACTGTTCAGTTGAGTGGGAAAAGAACTGGGCCTGAAGGAGCATATTTTGATTTGTTTTTAATGCTCAGAAGAGCTTGCTAGACAAAAAGAATGGTAGATTTCAGCTAACCTGCAGCAAGTACTCAGCAACAGAGGGGAGACCGCAGCGGGCCCGGTTGTGGCAGGGATCAGCAGCCCCTCTGGCTCACTGCTCACACGTAATGTAATGGGGTCCAGCCTGGTCACAGCCACCACCCAAGCGTTGAGTTCTTGTTAGTATTATAAAAACTTACTTTCTTTGGGACACCATTGCTTAAGTATGTGAAAAAAAAAGAAAAAATAAATCTCACTTAAACCCAGTTTATTTTTTGGGGGAGCATTAATTTACACACGTAGAATAGTTTGACAGGATTAAGGACATGATCAATTTTTTACTTTGCCTTATTATTATTAGCCTCTATAGTATTAGCCATGAAAAAACCCAGAGTTTCTAAATGTGCCTCTTGCCAGCACTTGTCTCAGGATCCGTTCAGTCTGTGTATCATCATCTACTGCAAACCAGAGATCCCCAGGCAGGCTGCTTCCCTCAGAGCTGCAGAAAT